TGTGTGTGTGTGTACAGATCCTATAGGATTCAATAAGCATCAGCTTTGCAATTTACCCATAATAAAAATTTGATTTTGCACCAGAAGACATGAGGCAAAACTGACGCACACAAGCGCAAGGTTATTGGTTCTGTACACAGAAGCTGAAAATGGTCGAGCATAATCCGACACGCATGGCTTGTATGTGAAACCGAAAACTTCACAGTCGACCAGCAATTAGTTAGGACAGCGAATTAGCACCAAAGAAACTCGAAGATTAAAGAGTTATTATGGGAATAACTTACAAGTTTATGCTTTTCTCGCCCCATAGGTTCGTGTTGTGGTTAAAAGACAGTGACAAATACAATTCCTCGTGTAAAATGTCACATGATATGAGATTCTTCCACTACTAAACGTAGCTTCACATATGTTGGAATGTTAAGTGTGCCAATGTTTCATCGAGCCTTAGTTTGAAAGATTCAATGCTTGGTCCACACAGAGGACGTGGGGTGGGACAGAGTTCCAGATCGAACTCACACTCTGACTACGAATGACTGACACCGGCATTCTAATCGGCATTTTGAGATCACTTGTTTGAACGGATGTCCTCTAAGATGAACGTGGGTTGATAATTTTAGCAGCGGACGACACGGATGGCTTGGGTTTTGCTTTGTTTGGTATACCATAATCATGTCTTCTCTGATGCACCGGTGCTCATTGGAATATAACCCCANGACCAACAACAAGTAAACTTTCGTTTCAGAACCTAATACAATGAACCGTGGAAAGTATAAACCTTTCAGTTGCAGGGATTTGGGAAAAAGTAGTTGAGTAGGATCTGTGAGTAGTTAAACTGTCATCCCTTGGAACGTATTCCGCCCCATATATCTCGATCAATTTCCATTTATTTAACAAGTTAAGACAAGCATCGCTTACCACATACAGACAAACTGCTTAGCAGATGGGTTAAACCGCGTTGAGGGAAACCAAGGCTTGGCACTCCGACTAAGTGGTGGTTGGATTGAGAAGAAACCTATTACTAACGCTGATAAAGAAATCTGATTAGCTAACATATTTGCATGGATCTCCTGCGTTGTATTCACAGCTATCTAATGGCGAACGACCTCCTAAGTAAACGCCAGAAGCTATGCACCAACACACTACTGTCTCACAATTCACACTTGGTTATGCAAGGGCTAGACGAAGTTCATCCTCAAAGAAATCGGGTGACACTGGAGAACATTTTTGTAGCAAACTCTTTACAAACTTTATAATATTTATGAAGTTGGTTCATCCCCTCCATAAGATCAGTCAAAATATTTTACTTCCCGAGAGATTGCCAGTCATTCCTAGACTTTGGAATCGAAGTAGAAAATCAGTTACGTGTAAAATAAAATTAAGATAGACATAATAAAGAGCAGCAGCTAACTGAAAATTTGTCCACAAAAACATTACCAACTAAGAGGCTGTGGTGCATAATCTACTGGGTCAGATCGAATTAGTCTTCACATTTGGGAAAATCGTTTGAAACCGAATCTCAACTATGTTATTAGTAGTGAATGTGTATTGTTAACCAATTTTTATTTTACTGTGAACAATTCCCAATTCTCGAGAACGGATTGTATACCACATGAATGTTTTTTTTGTGAAGAATAACATGTTAGTACTGTATGCTGCTTTTTAAATTTTGATTATTTAATTGTTACAGATGGAGCTCAGTCGTTCTTGTCTTATCGATTGGATGAAGCTTCGTTATTGTAACTTCTGTTTCGGAGAAGCTGACGTTCGTATCTGCCCCGAAAGTTGTCGATCTCAGATATCTGATTGCATGAATGAGTATCACGCTCTGGATGAACCCTGGACTCAATTTATCGGTAGGTCTGTGTAGTGTAAAGTTTATTTTATCTATTATTCATGATGCCATGAAGTATGTGCTTTCTACATTTTTCCTTTCTGTTATTCTTCATTTACACATCATGCATTGCCTGTACAACTCAGTGGGGTTGGTTAGGTACTTCAAATCTCGATGTTAACCACCATCTGTTTCATTGTTTCATATGTTAATTTCTCCGCTTTCTTTTTTACTTTTTTTATAAAATAGATCATCTTCTTGCTGTGATTGATCGCCTACGTGGCTCGGACAGTTTTCCCCAAGTGAATCGACCTTTGCAAATACACATAACAGATGCAATTATGAGCTTCCAACGTCTGTTCTCACGCATTGATTTATCGGTGAGTGTTGGCTCTGCACGAGTTGTACATGCTTATTCGTATGCCTTAAGTTTCCCGCATTTCGTTATTATTGTGCTTCAATTATTGATTAATTTTCTGTGATTTGCCGCGGTTTACTTCCTAAACTTGTATGGTACATTTGTTGTGTAATAAATAAACAAAATCATGGCATTATCGTTATTAATGAGTACATGCAGTTTGTGTCATTCCCTAGCATCCAACCTGGCCGCAATTCTTCCCGAACATGTAATGTTACGTAAAATCCGTATTTCGTGGACTTCGTTTCAGTTTCAATTTCAGTTTGAACAACCATTAACCATACAATTCTGTGCGCCGATTTTGGTTGCTGCCTTTTGGCTGCCCGTTTGAATGAACAGTAGGGGAAATACAGGTAAGCTGAAGGTAGAGTCGAGCAGAAAATGGAGAATTTCAGTGGACTAATGTTGCATCAACACAAACGGTTTTGATGGTTACTGTCTTCTCGTTCACAAATCTGGTCTTGATAACACTGTTTACACAGTTTTATGGGTACCGGTGTGACTCATGGAGTTTGTCCTCTATGGTACCCCTTCCTGTGGTGAGAACCATACCAACTGAAGCCCTCAGTCTCCCAAGTTTATTTTCGACTGGGAAGATTGATCTGGAAACTACATTATAGCTGAATGGCTGAAGTATGACAGTGACATAACTTGCGATGGCGTGGTTCGAATTTCTCTCCCGTGTGCGTCATTTACGGTGACCTATGTTGCTCGATCACTCCCAGCCTCTCATCTTACCGAGTTGATTCTTCTCCTACTCACAGAAATGAGAAATAGCAAACATTTTACTAGTTCATTCTTGTTTCCGTCTTTGGTATTTGCTATCGTACGTCGAATACATTTTTAAAGGTGTGAACTTAATCTTGACAGTGGTTTTCAACGAACGTTATGTATGTTTGTTTTACTCCTGAAATCGTTCGCCTGTTTTGCTGTGTAGCTTTCAGAACGTTGCAATGACCAGGGTGGAAACTCAATGACGGACCTAGAACGACAGAAACGACAGATATATTATGCTCCTGGATCACTTGCGTTTCCATCTATCCCGGAGACGGTGGATTATTTTCGTGCCCTTCCCTCACTGGAAAATCAGACAAAATTAATGCATGAGAAGGTAATACATAATCCCGTTTCAAATTGCCCCAATTGTTGACTTGCGCATCTTTCCCTTTCCGTTTAACTGTATTTATTTCTGTATTCCAGTATTTGTCTGTGCGATCTCTGTTCTCCAATTTGGACGAAATTTTCTGCTCTTCACAATTGCTACGCGACGCCCAATCTTCCGGCAAACCGAGTAGCAAGTGCTGGAATGGAAAATTCGTTTCTATGTAAGTTAGCCTCAAAGTGTGGACTGAAACAGAATATTATTGCTTTTCAAGCAGTTCCTTTAAGATTTTCGTTTTTACACTTGAAGTTACTGGTATGTTATTTTACGCCTTAATCATACCGTCACCTCCGAAACAGGAAGAAACGTTTTACGCTCGTTAAGTATACCTTTTTATTTGAAGAGAATTTATTGTCTGAATAAGGGCAGTAGTTTAAAGTATCCGCTTATAACTTTGAACGATCATTAGTCAGATCACCCAGCAAATCGTACAATCGGGATACACTAGACTCATCAGCATTGTCATCATCATCATCGTCATTGTACAGCGTAATACAGTGAAGCGAACGTAACTGATCGCTGCCGAACTCATTGAATACCACGTAAGTGAGAATGTGTGAGGAGGACAGGGATTGGTCGCAGTTTTAGGGACGGGAAAAGAAAGCGTACCTCTATGGTCAACACACAGTTCAACTGTGCATACATACTATTTCAAGCATTTTGGTCTGATAAGAAGTGACAGCATGACCGCCATGGCTGTCAGTTCGCAGCCATGATCTTCAGTGTCTCTACCCATGCAGTTTCGGAGTCTTTTCGACCCCACCCCGGAAGACGAGAGACACCTAATCTACCTAATCGCTTTGTGCATTTTTTATGTCTCGTCTTCACGTCATCTACTGACCTCCACGTGGCTTTCTCTAGTCTGTAACAGCCACTGTAAACAAGCCGCGCTGGGGTAGGCGACCGTCGGACATACGCAAAACGTGTCCTAACCAACGGAGCCTATAGAGCCGGATTCGATGCGATAGCGAGTTCTTGTTTGATATATTCCCAAACACCCGACGACTTAATTCTAAATTACTAACCTGTTCACTCCATCCAACCTGGGCCAGACTACGTAAACGTCGGTTGTCGAGCACTGCTAAACGATGAGTTTCTTCTACCCGTAAATTCAAAGTCTCACAACCGTAAAGCAGGACTGATCGTACGGTTGCGCAGTTCTCATCCTCAACCGTACTTGCAAAAATCCCCCCACCCACCCATCGCATTGACTTCTGTGGTTCTAAAGTTGACTGAGAGAGCCATCGTGAGTCGCTTACAGTCACTTGTCACCATTCCCCGTGATCCTCTTCGGTTCGCGTATAAACCAACAGATCCACTTTGGATGCTGTGTCTACTCGGGTCCATTTTGTAAGCAAGTCATTAAACAGCTCTGCCAAATCTGTTCGTTGCATTTTTTCTCGATTTTTTGTCTGCTTTTGATTCTATCCCGGTCATCCCTCTTTTTAAACTTGAAGCTTTTGGCACCCCGAGACAGCCTCGCTCAAGGCTTTCTGATTATTTCACCGAAAGAACCCAGTGCACAAAGCTGGGCAGGAATACCTCATGTCCTCTAGTCAATAATTCTGGTGCTTCAAGATGCAGTCCTCTCTTCGTATCCTTTCTCTGCTTTCATTAATTATCTTTCAGTTCCACACCCTGCTCATATCCAAAAGTAGGCTGGCGATGTTGCTTTAAGTCAGGCCGTTTCTTCGGAATTTTCTCCCTTCACTGAAAATCTGTCCCGAATCGAACAGGTTTCAAACCAGTTTGGTCTTAATCTTAACATATCCATATGCTTGGAGTGCATTTTTAATTCCTCCCGCTCTACATTCCCGTCAGACTCTGTAACCCTTTATAGTAACCTTTTATCTAGAGTGACCTCAGCCAAATATTTGGGTGTTACTATCTTCGGTGGGCGACGCACATTCAGAACTGTATGGGAAAACTTCGGCGACTCTCCTTCCAGCTCCGAAAGCACAGACAATTTCGCACTCACCAACAAGTTTTGTTCTCTTTTGTTGAACAATGCGTTCTGCATATTATACTTTATCTATCCCTGTAGTGTTTCTCGGTCTATTGAAACAAGACTTTAAAACTGTTCGTGCGCGCCGCGGTAGGCGACCGTCGGACATACGCAAAACGTGTCCTAACCAACGGAGCCTATAGAGCCAGATTCGATGCGATAGCGAGTTCTTGTTTGATATATTCCCAAACACCCGACGACTTAATTCTAAGTTACTAACCCGCTCACTCCATCCAACCTGGGCCAGACTACGTAAACGTCGGTTGTCGAGCACTGCTAAACGACGAGTTTCTTCTACCCGTAAATTCAAAGTCTCACAACCGTAAAGCAGGACTGATCGTACGGTTGCGCAGTATACGCTACTTTTTAACTTCAGTGAAACATCACGTCGTCGCCACAGGTGTTTGTGTCCTGCATACGCTGCTCAAGTCTTGGAAATGCAGTCGGTTATCTCCTTTGATGCAATACCGTTGTTGGTCACGCAGCTACTTAAGTACGACAAGCAGTCAACTTCAGCTAATTCCTGACCGTCTAGTTTCAGAACAGAACTCCGCGACACCCAGTCTTGTAGCATCGCTTTGCACTTTGAAGGTGCAAAGCACATGCTGATCGGAGTGACAGAACTTGTTAATCTTTCAAGTGCTCTTTGTCCATCATCCATACATTCGAATAAGCAAACGATGTCGTCAGCATACTCCTAATCGCACAGCTTTTCACCAGCTGCCCATTCAATACCTATATTTTGGAGACCACTTGGCGTGTTCTCCAGTATTTCGTCTATGACGAAATTGAACGGGAATGGTGAAAGAGGGCACTCTTGACGAACACCGCTGCTAGTTACGAACGACCTACTCAGCTTACCGTAGACCCTTACGCTACTAGAGGTGTGTGAGTAGAGTGAACTCAGTATGTTCACATACTTTTGCAACATTCCTTTGCGAAGGATCAAACCCATAAGGGATTCACGATCAACCGAGTCGAAGGCTCCTTTTAGGTCAAGGAACACGACAACCGTTGGTCGACGGTGCGTATGGCGTAGCTCGAAGACTTGATGCAGGGTGAAGATTTGATCGATACAACCGCGACCTGGTCGAAATCCTGCTTGTTGTTCGTGGATGTATCCTGCTTGTTGTTCGTGGATGTTTGTCTCGCTAAACGGTGTCAGACGTCGAAGTATGATGGAGGCTAGTAACTTGATGACGATTGGGATCAAAATTATTCCACGGTGGTTGGCCCAGTCGTTGCGAGGTTCCTTCCTAAAAACTGGAACGATCAGTGATTCGCCCCAAGATGATGGTAGGCGCTCGTTTAACCAGATGTTACCCATTAAATTAAATTAGTAACGGAGTCTACGAAATCATCGCCCCCCATCTTGAAAAATGTGGGAGGAAGCCTTTCCGGTCCTATTGCTTTCCCTTTCTTTAGGGCTTGGATGCAAGAACGAACTTCTGCTGCAGTAGGAGATTCAGATGATACTGCCCACAGAACGTCAGCTACACCGGAGGAGATCGCGTGGTTAGCGCATGGTCAGCTGAACTGTTCTTTGAGGTACTCCGCCCACCAGTCAAGTCATTGTTTCCTATTATGAATAGCTTGTTCACTTTGTCGCAGATTGTTTCACTAACTTTGGTTAGCCGATCTCCTGTATTGCGTATCAGTTGGAACAGTGTTTGAGTGTTCCAACACACTGGACTTGAAGTTCGCTTTCTATTTCTGTTTCATCGTTGTGTACTCACCGGGATTGTAATCTTGAATTCCTCGCATGGGAGACGTGTGCCACCACTGCACCAATCGGTACCCATCAGGAATGATCACTGCTTCCATTTATATTTGGATTTTGTTTTCATGGGAAGTTAGTCAGTGCGTTGGGCTTGACAGACAGTAATTCGAGCATAAGGGAAATATCTTTCGGCCGGGTTTAATGACCAATTACGCTTTGTAATAGATTAGGTAATATTGCCGATCGTCTGATGCATCTCTGTGGGTACAAAAATGTGAATTGTATTCAGGCTCCGATTTATCTGACCTGCGTCGAACGGAAACCGCATATGGGTATGTTCGAGTTTTTGTCTCACTCTGAAATCCTGTCTAAAACGGAGCGTTATTTTGCTCCTCAGTCCTCTCAAATAAAGGGACGGTTGTTACTTATTCAAAACAAACCGTCCAGCACCGCTTGTAATGTGATATTTTCCCGAATAGAGTTTATCACACACACACACTGTCATACTTCCTCACACCTGCAGCCACAACAGCCCAAGGAAATTTCTATCTAAAGTATCGTCTCTCAATCCCACGGTCACACGATTGATTACACGATTGCGGAATGTGACACAAATGCTGCATAGCATTCTAAAATTCGATGGTGATCCGGATTTCATGCCAATTGACGATCCTGTATTAGAAGATCGAATTCAAACACTTTGGAACTCACAATCGCGGAACTGTATACCGCATTCGGATGTCTCATTGACTATGGTCACAAATGTGTCGGTTGGCTCGCTCTCAGGGGTGAGTGGTACTTATACATTTTTAAGTATGTCATACATTTCATCACGTGACTAGTACCTATTCTCGCCAGTTTACCTGTTTTTTGTGTGTAGTGAAAATCCCACAAGGTTTTCTCAAAGGAATTGAAATATATCTCAATTGCTCATCCGGTTTGGGTCTTTAAGTTCCATATCCACATTTCTCGAAGGACAATCGGCGGGTCGATCGGCACGAGATCATTGCCGTATATTGCACTTACATTATAGGTGTTCTGTTCTAAAGGAAACGGGTTTGTCGTAGTTTTTCTTCCGTCCCGTGCTGTCTTGAATCCATTTCTTTACTATTCGGTTCGCTGATCTGCATTTCTCAACTGGTAACATGATTTATTTAGCTCATTTTTTCTTGGTGGAGTCTAGGGCTGGTATGATCTGGGTGTGATACACTCGAAAATCCTGCAAAAATCGGCTGCGCTAGATGGCGTATAGACAAAATGAAAACCGTCGTTTACCAAATGGTCAAATAACATACTTGCGTTCCACCTGTAACGTCTCGGGTTCGACATTCGTTGGGTTCGATGGTTCGCGCTGCTGATGAAACTCAATCAAGTGGAATTAGTTGTCGACTGTTTCCGAGTTTTTCTGCTCACGTTTCACATGCTCTGCGCCTGATGAAATTCACCACACAGTGAAACCCAAAACTCCATTACCCTCATTTCTAATAGTTCACCAGCATTCATAGTCTTTCTTAGGATTTATAGGACATCGAAAGTTGCACACTATCACTTAGTTATATACCATTGATGTGCCCCAGACAGCCTTTGTGTGACCGTGACCCCCTTCCTACAAGTTTATATTGCATTTCTATAATTATTAGACAAAACAGACAGTAAATAGATTTATTATTATTATTATTATTACTATTACTGTCTCTTAAATTTTTTCACCATCACCCTCAAATCACCTCTCTACCTCCAACAGAATCAGCATTCACCAGTTCACCTACTGACTGGACAGAACAATTTTACTCCACACACATCACCGGTTCAGATTGAATCGGGACCAGAAATCTCTGTGACAGATGGCAGTGGTTACGTCCCATGGCATGATTCTGACTCATCTTTACTGCCACAAACCAACATCATATCTGCTGATTTTGATCCCAATCACGGTCTTTTGCATAATCAAAATTTCGAAACGTCCTTGGATGATGAAGATTATTTGGTTCATTATCCGGATAGGGCAAATCAGGTAAATCGATGGCACTGGTCCAATACTTCTGTGCATTTCGTTGTCGAAACTGAACGATTTCATTGTACACTTCCTTTGTCGTGATAACCGTGCAAAATTTTCCCGAGTTATTTTCTTTGTCACCCCTGTTTTATCACTAGTATCTTGAAGTCACCAGATGCATTCATCTTCCAGACGGTGATGACCTCTCACGGATGGGTTATCGTCCCGCCACTGTTTGAACACAGTTGAACTCCAAAATGATGAATGGTCTGTTCCATCGTTCAGATATTCACCTCGAGACTAAAAGAAAACAAATGTGACCCATGCAGAACAACGGGATAAACGAAGAGCTGAATAATTAGGGGTCAACGTTCAGATATTTGCACTTGACTGTACCGGATGTTGACCATGTAAGGTGTAATTCAGACAGGTGTGAACAACAGCTTCCAAATGGACAAATTACTGCCATTGTTTTGTCGACCGACCTGGGGAAAGCACCGCACAAACGGTAGGCAGTAATCAAGTAGTGAAGCGTTTGATTTTAGTTTCGAAGGCAGTGGATTGTGCATATGGGTCAGTGGGAGCAGTGGCACTGTAAAGTTGTGTCCTTGTTGTTTGTGCAAGACCATCGAACTTCACAGACAGGGCATAAAAGTACGTTACCGTTTGACCGCCGACTAGTTGAATCTCTTTGGCTTCACGTGACACTGCACTAATGACCTATTAGCACAGCTCACTTGTTCCTTAGAGCACTAGTTGATTCAGCCAGAAATGTTTCGAACTTGGATGATTCTGCCTGTGCGTTAGCTGGGGTTGTAGTTTAGAATGTTAAGAGCAGAGTCAATGTAAAAATAAGGAATTGATATGCGTAGACTAAGGTTGCAAGGATAATGAGCGGATGCACGAGCGCCGCTGTTTACGACGCTCAGCCATGTCACTCGGTGTCTCAAACCGTTGATTATTACACTAATCCCGCGGTCCCCATCCGGAGAGCCAAACGCAAGCCGTATGACTGAGTCTCCTGGTCAGGGTTTTCAGACCCTCATGCTAAGTCTTAGTTCGGCCAGACTGTCCCAACCTTGGCTTTTTTCATTCACTGCCTCAACAAAAATCAAACGTCGTGGCAATCCATTTGACGACAGGCGCAGTTCGTGCCCCAACAAACACAATCTGTGGAAGTCAGCTATCTGCTTCCGTGGGCGACCGCGATCACCTAAAACTCTGCGCCTAACCTCGACATTGTTCATCTAGTTGTCCCACCAGAAAATCTCTGTGTACACAGTTAGGCTACGTACTCTGTGGGCTGACTATGGAGTTCACTGGTTTTCCCCCTCTTCCTAACAGGCTCACTACCTATCCCTTCAGTATCGGCTTGGTGATGACCAGCGAAGTTCACTTAACTGTATTTCGTTGTATGATGATGATGATAATGATCCCTGAACTGCATCAATGGTAAAACTTTCAAGATAAAGATGGACCGATTTTGGAAGTTGCATTTCACAGCTACAAATCAAGTCGAGTCTCACGTTGGTGAATATTACCGACTATAACGCGTTCGTAAGACCATTGTATTTCAACTACAGATAATTCCCAATAATCGCTATCAGAAGTAGCCTCCTGTGTCCGTTGGATCACCACAGTTTGTTTGACCGGAGAGAACGACAGATGACTCCGGTCCACTTCAAAGTTCAAATGATTTAGAGCGTGCTCCATGACTTGACAATAAGCGACGTAAATGGACCGAACAAACGGCGAAATCTTATATAAATAACGTGTTTCCGTGAATTTCTTTTAACTATTTATGTACTTGTCGAGTGACTTATTTGCGGTTTTGATATGTTTGGTCGCACGAATTCTCTCTATCGCAAGGTTTTTGCCATAAAAACAACACGGTTTGTGTTAGCCAAAAAATCATTATGATTCTGTTAAAGTTTTGATGAGAGCGACCGACAAACGCTACCAGTCGAGGGTGAATTGGTGAGAATGTTACGGTCGGTCCTGTGTGTACTTGTGATCTGCACGAGGTGGAATATACACCCGTTCTGTCGTGACCTACTGCAAAGAGGGTTTGTCTTTAATTCCACCTGCGCGCATGTCTTTTTGTTGCCTTTTACCATTCAGCCTACAGTAGTTTATCTAACCCTTTTCCGGACGCCGAGCTCGCCCTCTCCCTTCTATCACATATTGTGCCTTCATTTCTCGTTTCGACCCAGCTGTGAGACAGTGCTGGGATGTGATTGTACCGAAATTCCTCGTTTAGTCAGTGGTTAGTGAGCCCTGTATGTAGGTGTGTGTGGATACTCGCTAGCGAGCGAGCGTTCATATGATCCTTTGCGAGTTTAGCAACATGGTTGTGGGAAGACATCTTACTGGCCTGATACTTTTATGTTCCGACCTACCCCACGATCGAAAGAGAACAAACATTTGATCTCGGTGTTAGGTGATTTCTCGGGGTGATAATTCGTGTAATGTCAGTCCGGTTTTATGGGTTTCTTTTGCCCGTACACACGCCTATTGTTCCAAAGTTAGCCAATCACGGTCCACATTCATCCACTTACCAATGGATGTTGGATACAATCCCGCTAATCTTATTCGAGTTATTAGGATTTTTTAGTATCGCGCTTCTCATTTCATTGGACCCTGTTAATGTGTTCTCTGAACAACGAAAACAACATTGAAATAAGCCTAATTAAAAAAAGAACGCAAACCGATCTGCATAATGAAGAAAAGACAATGCTGGATGAGTGAACCAAATTTGAAAGGACTTGTGTTATCAGTATGGCTTCGTCACTCAGCTTATAGAGTGCAAAAGAGTAGGCTCTAATTCCACCGAGGTTACTAAACTTTTCACAATTCGAATTACGACTTTTTAATCTTTTATTCGATAGCGCGGAGATCACAGACTTTAAAATTCCAATTTTGTAGCACTCACGCCGCTGGTTACTATTCGAAATCATTTCTCGGAGAGTCCATAGCTTACAACGTTTGGCGTCCCTCTGATTCCAACCAGGCAAGCGATAGCAAGAGAGACCTGTGCTGTTGTTAACCTCCTGACCTTCCCACACCCACCCATGCGATCACTACAGCGGTTCTTCCCCGTTTCATTCGTACTCATGAAACAGACAGTGATTGGTACAGAGTATTTACACATGACAACACGATTCCTATTTCTCAAACTGTCTTGCAGTAGTATAGAAAATCGAATTGAAGTATTTCCGTGGTAGTGCTTGTTGCCATGATAATTCCAGTGGTGTATGCTACTGTACTGATCAGTCGCTTGCTCTGGATCGGGAGGTCAATTTGAGGGACCGCACTCTGATCCTTCGACAGGATACTGTATCCCACGAGGCCGTGAACAATCATATTGACCTGTGGTTCAGTTAGTTCAGTCATACGGAGATTGCCAGTCTATGGTGCCGAACACCATCGCACAATCAAGTCGATGAACGTAAAATGTCCTGGAACGCGTCCATCATGGCTGGCTTTGAATCAAGTTTTCTCAAGTTCTCTATAGGCTGTGAATACCTCTTTCATTGGGTTGTGGCCCCGGGGTGCGACTTTTCGCCTTCTCACTCCAGTAAAAGCTTCCTACCACGAGAAGTAAGTAAGACTAACTGACCAAGTAGGTGTTATTACACAGGTCTTTAGGAAACGTTTCGCGGAAACCCGCAACGGTATGATCAGTTTTCCGAAAAGTTCGCCCTTGACCAGACTTGGAGTAAGGATTGCTGTATCTTTTATTTTGTGAAAAGAATTCACGTGATGGTCGAGTAGATAACATCGCAAGCAACATGATGCATTAGGGCATGCATAAGTTTTGTGTTATTTAGCCATGACAACTAAGGGCAACCTGTTTGTGAATATCGACCAATTTAGTGTAATTCCACAGGCTGACGGGCGCAATTCACTTGGCAGGTATTTCATAGTAATTTTCAATCTGTACCCGAAATTACTTATTATTTTACTTTCATTCATTGCTTTTCCCCACCTATTTCACTTGGAATAGGCTCCACTCGTCATGAAGCTTCATCCGGCATATATAGCTTTTGTTCTTTCTTCTTTATCAGCATTCCCCCAAATCGGTGTCACAAAATACCCACATGTACACCTCATTGCACAGTTCTTCTACGAAGCCCACGTCACTAAACGCTTACCCCGATGCTGGTAGTGCGCAATTATCCGGCGGTCGGTCATCTCATTCAACAGCTCCAGATGGAGTCCCGTCCAGAGCCTTTTTCAGGCATAATGTTAAACCGGCTGAGAAACCGGACGCACGCACGCCTTTTAATGCGATTTATTTTAATGTCCCTAATCAGCTTTGGATTCCTGCAATGAACCAGGAGAATTCGCTACAAAATTGGCTCTCCAGGCCGCATACAAAGCCAGCAAACCGATCTGCTACTTCTTACCGCCATGGAAACCTGATATACTTTGCCCTATTACTGATTCTCACAGTTCTTGAAACAAATGTTTTTGTACTCTGAGAGTGCCTACTACCCAGTGTATCGCATTTTTGTTTCCATATTATACGAACCAACCGCATTTATTTTCTGGTCTTTCATCTCCCCCCCCNCCCCCCCCCCCCCTCTCAATACCTGTACATAAACTTTTCCCATGTTCGCCTTTGATTTCATTTTCATTACGCTCATCTGTCATACGGACGTTATTCCAATTGTGTACCACGAGGCCAGTATCATTATATTTCGCCTTCATCCTGAGCGGTAACTATGCTCATGGATTTAAGTTCACCTAAACAGACTTGTTAACTTTAATTGATAAATCTATGGGGTTTTGATCACTGCTTAATCAATTCATTTATGTCGTTCTTACTTGTAACTCAGAATGTAAATAAATTGTTGGTTGGCGGTGATTCGCATCGGCTTGACTTGATTTGGAAATCCAGCCTATCTCTATTGCCTGGTAATCAAATCAGTATAATCGGCTACTAGCATAGGAGAATTTAGGGAACATATTAAAGGTTCTGCGGTATATCTGTTTCGGGCAATGACTGTTCATATTCGTTTTCATACAGCATGAGTCGTTTTCTGCAAAATTCACTTTGTAGGCATTAATCATTTCTACCCAAATGTTTAAGCTATTATTGCACAACATGACCCGCTCATCTAGTCTTTGGTCACCAAACGTTTTTGTGTTTATTTCCAGTCTTCTAAAGTAGTCTGCTTGCTGAGACCCTCTAATACAAAATGATATTCCGTTAGTTCCGGTTATCATACTGGGTATCAACAAGGCACTGGACGGACCCTTTGTATTAAGGTATCATCGCTGCAGTTGCATTTGTGATTCGGTACTTCAATACGACATGTAACCTATGTACTGATAATGATTTATTCATGCAAGACTTGTAGTGCCGTAGGCGTATTAACCCTGTCATCCTCCTACACACTACATGTGTCTCTTGTCACAGAGTGGCGATCCGACTCACTCCGTAGACTGTTCATGTAGATGAGAGGAACAGTCTTCTTTTATCCACGAAGGAACTCCATCCGAACATCATTCAGCCACTAAAATAACTGTCGAAATTGGCGCGTCGATTGAACTGAATATTGCCTGCAACTTTCTGTGAGTTACCGCTAGGAGCCCTTCGACAGTTCACCGTGCTTCAGTTATCATTGATCGAGAATAAAACAGCACTCTTCAACCATTTTCGCGGACTCTGTGCATTATTCATTTTCCTGTAGCTCGTTGCCATTGCTGTGTAGAGTATATAAATCGACTACTTGTAGGCGCAGTTTGATGCTAGTTCTGTTGTCATCTGATCAGGTCAGTGGTTTTGCGGCTATTAAAACGACCAATGTGAATATACAGGAATTTTCCAAATGACCCCAGGGTTTGATTCTTAAGATATCAGCCTTCCGTACCGGTCAAAAACCCAAACATGAATTGAGCTTCGGTGTTCAATTACCAAATAAAACAAAAACTGACTGTTTCGCAAGCAACAATGTGCACGTCTGTTTGCTGATTACCTGAATTTCTCTTCATCGGAGGTAGCGCTTTACAAGTGGTTGAGAAAAGGATTAGAATACTCAATCCACGCGGAACAGTTGCAGGGCGATTAAAAAACGCAGACACCATCCGTGGACTACGAAGTTAGTTACAACGCACGAAGACGGCAAGTTTTTCTTGTCCTTTCGGCACCGATTAAATCCAATCCACAATGCCTGCATACAACCCTCTGGGAACGTACCAAACAAATCGAGTCTGGCTAAGGCTGCGAAAATAGCAATCTCCTAATCCACAGCTGACCTAATCAGATTAATCGTTAGCAAAACAAGATGCCAGGACCCTGAGAAGCAGTTGTTGGCATGGTTCTTGAACCATGATCGTACTGCGAACCAAAAAGATCGCATTTCGGCACGATCACGATAGTCATCTTCC